GCGAGGGGCAGAAAGAAGTGGTTTTGAAACCGTGTAACTCAGATTGGGACTTGAACCCATGGCCTTTTTTTTTTTTTTTTTTTTTGGGCGGGGGGCCCCCACTGTTTTGGCCTCTCCCGCTGCGGAGCACAGGCTCCAGACGCTCAGGCCCAGCGGCCATGGCTCACGGGCCCAGCCGCTCCGCGGCACGTGGGATCTTCCCGGACCGGGGCACGAACCCGCGTCCCCTGCATCGGCAGGCGGACTCCCAACCACTGCACCACCAGGGAAGCCCCCATGGTCTTTTAACTGAGATCACACCTGGTCTCAAGACATAATGAAGTTCAGGGACTTCCCTGGTGGAGCAGTGGTTAAGAAACCACCTGCCAATGCAGGAGACATGGGTTTGAGCCCTGGTCCATGAAGATCCCACATGCCTCGGAGCAACTAAGCCCATGCGCCACAACTACTCAGCCTGCGCTCTAGAGCCCGTGAGCCACAACTACTGAGCCCATGTGCCACAACTACTGAAGCCTGTGCACCTAGAGTTCCGCAACAAGAGAAGCCACTGCAATGAAAAGCCCGCCCACCGCAACAAAGAGTAGCCCCTGCTCACTGCAATTAGACAAAGCCCACACACAGCAATGAAGACTCAACACAGCCAAAAATAAATAAATAAAATAAAATAAATAAATTTATATATTAAAAAAAAGGATGACAATAGTGGGCTTCCCTGGTGGCACAGTGGTTAACAATCCGCCTGTCAGTGCAGGGGACACAGGTTCGATCCCTGGTGCAGGAAGATCCCACATGCCGCGGAGCAACTAGGCCCGTGTGCCACAACTACTGAGCCTGCGCTCTAGAGCCCGTGAGCCACAACTACTGAAGCCCACGTGCCTAAAGCCCGTGCTCTGCAGCAAGAGAAGCCACCGCAATGAGAAACCCGCACACCACAACGAAGAGTAGCCCCCGCTCGCCGCAACTAGAGAAAGCCTGTGTGCAGCAACGAAGACTGAACGCGGCCAAAAATAAATACGTTTATTAAAAAAAAAAAAAGATGACAATACTACTTAAAGCGATCTACAGATTCAATGTAATCCCTATCAAAGTCCCAACAGGATTTTTTTTAAGAAATAGAAAAATCCATCCTAAAGTTCATATAAGATCTCAAGGGACCTCCAATGACCAAAACATCCTAAAATTCATATAAGATCTCAAGGGACCCCCAATGACCAAAACAATCTCAAAAAAGATGAACAAAGTTGAGGGTCTTACACTTCCTGGTTTCAAAATGTATCACAAAGCTACATTAATCAAACAGTGTGAATGTCTGGCATAAAGGCAGACATACAGACAAATAGAATAGAATAGAGAGCCCATAAATAAACTGTTGCATATATGGTGTTATGGACAAAATTGTGTCCCCCACCCCAAAATCGATATGTCGAAGCCCTAACACCCAATGTGACTGTATTTGAAGAGACGGCCTTTAGGGAGGTCATAAAACTTAAATGTTGTCATAAGGGTGGGGTTCTAACCCAGTAAGATTGGTATCCTTATAAAAAGACGAAGAGATACCAGAGAGCTCACTCTGTCTCCCAGCCTGTGTACAGAAGAAAGACCATACGATGACACAGAGAGAAGGTGGATATCTTCAAGCCAGTAAGAGAACTCTCACCAGAAACTGAATTTGCTGGCACCTTGATCATGTATTTCTAGCCTCTGTTTTTTAAGCCACCCAGTCTATGGCATTTTGTTATGGTAGCTTGAGCAGACTGATACATATGGTCAAATGATTTTCAGCAGGGTGACTAGACCATTCAACGGGGAAAAGGACAGTCCTTCCAACAAATGGTATTGGGAAAACTGGATATCCACACACAAAAGAAGGAAGTTAGACCCTTACCTTACACCATATACAAAAATTAACTCAAAATGAGTCAAAGGCCTAAATCTAAGAGTTAAAACTATGAAACTAAGGGGAAAGCTTCATGACATTGGATTTGGCAATGATATCTTGAATATGACACCAAAAGCATAGGGGAAAAAAGGAAAAAAAAAGAAAAAATATATAAATTGGACCACACGAAAATGAAAAACTTCCATGCATAAAAGGGACTTCCCTGGTGGTCTAGTGGGTAAGACTCTGCGCTCCCAATGCAGGGAGCCTGGGTTCGATGCCTGGTCAGGGAACTAGATCTCGGATGCATGCTGCAACTAAGAGTTCACATGCCACAACTAAGAAGCCCACATGCCGCAACTAAGAGCCCACATGCTCCAACCAAAGATCCCACATGCCGCAATGAAGATCCAGCATCCTGCAACTAAGACCCTTTGCAGCCAACATAAATAAATAAATAAATTTTAAAAAAGGACACATCAATAGAGTGGAAAGGCAACCCATAGAACAGGAGAAATTATTTGCTAATCAAATATGTGATAAATAAGAATGTATAAAGAACTTCTATAACCCAACAACAGCAACACAAATAACCTGACTAAAAATGGGCAAAGGACTTCAGTGGACATTTCTCCAAAGAAGATATACAAGGACCAATAAACATGGAAAGATGCTTAACATCACTAAACATTAGGGAAATGCAAATTAAAAACAGAGTGAGATACCACCTCATACCCATTAGGATGGTTACTATCAAAAAACCAAAATAATAAGTGCTGGGGAGGTTGTGGAGAAATTAGAATCTTTGTGCACTGTTGGTGGAATGTAAAATAGTACCTCTGTGGAGGAAAACAGTATGACAGTTCCTCTAAAAATTAAAAATTGAATTACCATATTATCCAGCAACTCCACTTCTGAGTATATACCCACCAGAAGATTTGAAAGCAGAGATTCAAACAGATACTTGTACACCAACGTTCACAGCAGCACTAGTCACAGTAGCCAAAAGTTGGAAACTACCCAAATGCCCATCAATGAATGAATGGATAAATAAAATGTGGTGTATTCATATAATGGAGTATTACCCAGCCTTAAAAAGGAAGAAAATTCTGACCCATGCTACAACACGGGTGAAACTTGAGGACAACCATAGTCACAACAGCATTATTCACAATACCCAAAAGGTAGAGGCAACCTAAATGTCCATCAACAGATGAATGGAATATATATATATATTATATATGAATATATATATTATATATATATTCCAACATATATATTATATATATAATATACATATTCATATATATATAATGGAGTACTACTCGGCCATAAAAAATAATGAAATTTTGTCATTTGCAGCAACATGGATGGAACTGGAGGGTATTATGCTTAGTGAAATCAGTCAGACAAAGACAAATACTGTATGTTTTCACTTATATATGGAATCTAAAAAATAAGACAAACTGGTGAATAAAACAAAAAAATGGGCGAAAGATTTGAACAGACACCTTACCAAAAAAGATATAAGAATGCTAAATAAGCACATGAAAAGATGCTCAACGTCATTTGTTATTAAAGAAATGAAAGTTAAAACCGCAATGAGATGCCACTATATACTCTCTCTCTCTCTCTCTCTCTATATATATATATATATATATATTAGAATGGCTAAAATGAAAAATGTATTGTCTATTCGAAGTACTGGCAAGGATGTGAAGGAACTGGAATTCTCATACACTGGGAGTATAAAATGGTACATCCCCTCTGGAAAAAAGTTTGCTAGTTTCTTAAAAAGTAAAAATGGTATTTACTCAAGATAAATGAAATCATAAATCCACACAAAGCCTTGTACACAATTGCTTATAGTGTTCTTATTCATAATTGCCCCAAACTACAAACCACTCTATGTCTTTCAGTGGGCAAATGGATAAACAGTCTGTGGTACATTCATGCCATGGCATACTACTCAGCAAAAAAGAATGAACTATCAATATACATAATGACATGGGTGAATCTTTAAGGTCTTAGGCTGAGCAAAAGAAGCCAGGCAAAAAAAAATAAATAAAGATTATATTCTGTATGATGCCATTTATGTAAAATTCTAGAAAATGCAAACTAATATATAGGGACAGCAAATCAGTGCCTTGTGATGGCGGGGGTGTGCGGTGCAAGAAGGGGCAGGAGACAGGGATTAGGAGGAAACTTTTGGGGGAGATACATGTGTTCACCAATTCAATTACAGTGATGGTTTCACTGGGATATACTAGTGTCAAAACTCATCAAATTATATTCTTTAAACATGTGCTGTTTACTGTATGTCAATTATACCTCAAGAAAGCTATTAAGTAAACAGACACTTAACATAATGGCTAATGTTTGAAGTAGAGGTTTGCTTGGTTTGTCTTCCATTCTGGTTTAAACTGCTTCTGACAATTTCTGAACCTGAATTCAAAGTGAAGTTTGTTGTTATGTGATAGTGTGTAATCTTGTACTGTCTTATGTGGTTGGCTAATTGATTCATAAACATGATTTAGTTTCTCCCACTAAACTGAAAAATCCTCAAGGTCAGGCCTCATATTTTATACTTTTCTATATCCTCCTGCAGTGTCCAGCACAGTGACAGAAAAGTTTAACAAATACCTTTTGATTAAACACAAGTGTCTTTTGTGCTCCTTGAAAAGTGTGGGGGGTGGGGAGTCAAGACAGAGAATGAAGTATGATTTTTCTCTAATTTTATTCTTTCACTTATCTGGAATATAGTATCGAGGACATGGGGGGAAAACCAAAACACAAAGTGACCTCAAGGCCCCAACACTATTCTTTGTGCTATGACACTCAGATATAAATACAGGTTTGCCTGTCGCTGGGTTAAATTAGAGAGCTGTGGGTTGAAGGCTGATGAAGATATACCAAGATGAAAGGATTGCCAGACTGCAATTCAGTTTGATTTCATTCCTCACCCTCTTCGTTTTGACCAATAAGGAGGTAATGACAAGATAAGGAAAGAGGAACTCACAGAGTGCTTGATGATAACAGTGTCCTTTAACTAAACATCCTTAACGAGCAGCGTGTTCCAGTTGTGACTATAATCACTTTTCTCTCCGTATCCCCCCAAAAGAGCGGCAGTAGAGCCTCTGCTTGCTGAAAAATGAAAGAGATGGAAACTGAACTACCATGAGAACCTGGGAGATCTGCCTATCACGGAAGAGGGCCAACGTCGTTCACTATAGTGGCCGGTGGGTGAAGTGTATTATCTTTGATTTCCGCCGTGGGAATTCACTGCCTATAGACATACGTCTGTTGTAGGAAATGATATTGCCCTGGCTTTGATTTTTGTAGATCATGTAGGCATAGGTGATGACAAAGTACATCCAAAAACAGTGCACCAGTATACGGGCCACCAAACCAAACCAGCGCATGATTCTGACCTCTCTGATGTTAGAATCGTCATTGGTAAGTGTCTGTACTACAACGTTTACAGCTTCATAGAAGGAGATCCAGATGGTGTAGATCACCAGGCCCTTGTACATACGGGCATATACTGAGTATAGCAGCAAGGAGCAGATGACGACGGTGATGAAAGACAGGAAGAAGACGATGGCCAGGCTCCAGCAGATCATGAACTGTTTTATCAGGGTACTTGTACTCTCGGTCTGTGGGATAAGCTCAGTGCAATTGCTTCTCCTTAAGTACTTCTGTTCGAAGATGAGGTACAGGTCGATGGCCATGATGGTAAAGACCCCTGATAACATGGAGCCCATTTTGGCAGTCATCCCACACCAGTGCTGCCGTCTCATGCCGAGACCTCCTGTGAAGACAAATAACATGGGGGAGAATTCTGATTCCTGCCAATGTGGTAAATTACCAGGGTTGCTGCCTCCTTCCCCAAATTCACTTGGAGAAACGATAGAGAGAAATGTGGAAACCAGGCAATAACAGCTTTGAGAAAGACAGAAGACTGTTGAAAATTCATTGGGAGTGTGAGTGGGGAGGAGGGAGATGCAGTCTGGGCAGTGAGCGGATAAATTGGAGAAGTGGCTCTCAATGCCAGCTTCACATTACAGTCACTGAAAGTCAGCACCCCACACACCAATTAGAACATTCTCTGGGTAGGACCCAGGTATCAATATTTTTAAAAACCTCCCTGTGATTTTCATATGTAGGCAGTATTGAAAAACACTGAATAGAAAAATTTAGTTTACATATTTTTAAAATTTGTTTATTTTTGGCTGTAGGCTTCTCTAGTTGAGGCACGTGGGCTTAGTTGCAGTACGTGGGATCTTAGTTCCCAGACCTGGGCCCCCTGCATTGGGAGCGTGGAGTCTTAACCACTCGACTGCCAGGGAAGTCCCAGAAAAAGTTAGTTTAAATTGTGCTCTTTTCTCTTCCAGCATTGCTTTGGGCAACCATTGCTGCCCCCTGATGGGGAAAATTGGCCGCATTATCCAGATATTGCGTACAGGTATCTCAGGAAAAAAATCAGGGTAGCGCAATAGCCCTGCTAGGGTGAGTTGATGAAAACAATTAGGCTTTGAGCAATCACTCCTCCACTACATACCAAAACTTAAGGAATACAATGAAAGGCGTACTTTAAGGGAAATTTAGAAACTTAGAATAGAATAGCCTTATCATGGAAAAAGAAAAGGCAATAATGAACTAAGCATTCAACCCAAGAAGTAAGGGGGAAAAAAAGCAACCAAGGATAAGAACAAAATAAAGGAGGGAGAAAATATATAAAAGAACAGAAATCAATAAAAAGGAAGAAAAGATAAAGCAGAGGGTCTTCTGATTGCTAAGGTTATTGGGGCCAACTTGCTGCCAAAAAAACCCCCAACAACTAAAAACTGCTGTATAAAATAGTTTTAAAATATTCTTGAAAGCACAGAAGAGCTGACAAGATAAGAGGTAGGAGACCAAAGACTATAGGAATTCAGGAATTGGGACAGGTAAGCAAACATGAAAGTCAAATTTGCTCTGAGGGTATTTGCCAATCTGGGCAAACTTGAATTTCATTATGAGAACTCTGTAGGGTAAGGAGGAATGAAATTAAAGCTCAGGGTCCACCAAGGTGGGGAGTCTATTTTTTTTAAATTAATTAATTAATTAATTTAGGCTGTGTTGTGTCTTCACTGCCGTGCGTGGGCTTTCTCTAGTTGCGGCAAGTGGGGGCCGCTCTTCGTTGCAGTGCACAGGCTTCTCATTGTGGTGGCTTCTCTTGTTGCGGAGCACAGGCTCTAGAGTGCAGGCTCAGTAGTTGTGGTTCACGGGCTTAGTTGCTCCACAGCATGTGGGATCTTCCCGGACCAGGGATTGAACCCATGTCCCCTGCATTGGCAGGCAGATTCCCAACCACTGAGCCACCAGGGAAGTCCTGGTGGGGAGTCTATTAGAAGGCCTAACCTGTATTAGTCATGGCCACAAAGGTCTATGATTAGAGTAAAGGGGAATCAGAAGTAAACTTACCCCCACATCTTGTCCCAAGAGACTCCAAGGAGAGTGAACTTAGTACTACACTGAACATATGCGGGGGCTGGGGGGGCAGGGGGAACTCTCCTTGAGACGTTGTAACCATAACTAACCTTTTTATAGATTTGTAGCCCAAATTACATGAAGTATTCAAAGAAACTTTTAAGTCTAGTTTAAAGTAGTCCTAAACTGAAGTGTCTCTAGGTGCCTGGCAGAAGCAAACTCAGGCCTTCTCTGGAAGGATACATCTTTGTGCTGGTCCTCAAAGTATCACCATCAGTAATTTTTCAGGGACAATGACTAGTAGATAGTGAAAAACAACTGAGCATACAAGGAACAAGGCACTGTGAGAACCAGCAGAAATAACAGAACTGCAAAAATACCACATTATTAAACAATTATGATTAGGACATTTTTTTGAATTATTTAAAATTTTTATTTTATTTTTAATTTTGGTAAAATACACGTAACAAAACCTACCATCTTAACCATTTTAAAGTATAAATATTTTATACTTACAATAGTCATCCTAGTGGCTAACAATGAGGACATTAGAATTAGAGAAGTTAGTCAATTTATTTTGTCTAAAGCTGTACATCTGGTCAGTAGCAAAATCAGGATTTGAACTCACACCTGCCTGGCTCTAAAACCAGTCTTAACACTCAACCCACTTGTGCCTTATCTGCCTCGGAGATTTGTGAGCTCAGAGAGCTCAGAGACTCTATTTATCCCACAGCTCCTAACAGAGGGCCTTGACTAGAAAAGAGCCTTGATTAGAGCAGACCATTTACTAGCTTCCTTCTCCTTATTCTTTTTTTTTTTTTAATATTTATTTATTTATTTGGCTGCATTGGGTCTTTGTCGCTGCATGCAGGCTTTCTCTAGTTGCAGCAAGCGGGGGCTACTTTTCGTTGCAGTGCGCAGGCTTCTCATTGCGGTGGCTTCTCTTGTTGCAGAGCACAGGCTCTAGGCGCACGGGCTTCAGTAGCTGTGGCACACAGGCTCAATAGTTGTGGCTCGTGGGCTCTAGAGCACAGGCTCAGCAGTTGTGGCACACGGGCCTAGTTGCTCCGCGGCATGTGGGATCTTCCCGGACCAGGGCTCGAACCCGTGTGCCCTGTGTTGGCAGGCGGATTCCCAACCACTGCTCCACCAGGGAAGTCCCTCCTTCTGCTTATTCTTAAATGTTAGTCTTCCTCAGTGCACAAACCAAGACGCTCTTCTTACTTTATACTCTCTTCCTAGGTAACGTCACTTATTCCTGTGGTTCAGTTGCCATCTACACACTGATGACTCCCAAATCCAGTCCAGTCGTCTACTTGGAGATCCAAACCGGCACGCTAAACTCTTCTTCCTCCATTTGGGAACTGTCTTTGGACTGCTCAAGCTCAATATGTTCCAAACTGAGCTTACAGTTTCTCCCATTCCACCCTCACCTGCTGCTACGACCTTCTGATATTTCAGTAAGTATCAGCGTCCACCTGCCCATTTCCCCATGTACCTGCCTTTCTGTCATCCCCTACATTGAAAAACACTACGTTCCATCTACCCTCCCTCCCACGTATCTCTCGAATCAGTTATTGTTTTTCCCATCTCCACTGCCACCACCATAGTCCAATCACCACCATGTCTCCTCTGTGATTAACACTACTTATGCGGTTGTAGTCTTGATATAATCATGCATGGTGACCCAGCCATGTTGGGAGTTTGTGAGGAAAGGCAGTGCTTATGTGTGTATGGGATAAGAAGTCCTCACTATCATGATGGGAAGTCAATAGATAATGTCTAAAAATGATTAATCAAGAAATAGCAGTATACGTATGTAATTTAGAGATAAAGAGGTACATAGGAGGGGAAATAGAATTGATGTGGTTGCCTGTGGGAAGTATGACTAGGGGTGAGGGGAGTACAGAGGACTGAAGTTTTTATTATAAGCCTTTAAGTATTATTACTACACTTACATAATTTTAATAAAAATAAATTTATGAAAATATAGTTGTTCCATGAATTCCTAATAAATCCAGATCATTAAATAAATCCCACTGGCTCCCTTTTGGCTGGTGTAACTTTAATACAGTATGTTCGTAGCCCCAGAAATGGTTTGCTGGCCTCATGGAAGCAAGGTTTGCTGGATAACTCTGTGGTAGTCTGAACCAAGAGCTAAAAATGTTACCATGGAAAGTAGTTGGTGATAGTGCAAAGTCTTTTCTGTTTATTAATTTTATTTATTTTTGGCTGTGTTGGGTCTTTGCTGCTGCGCGTGAGCTTTCTCTAGTTGCAGCAAGAGGGGGCTACACTTCGTTGAAGTGCGCGGGCTTCTCATTGCGGTGGCTTCTCTTGTTGCCGGGCATGGGCTCTAGGCACGCAGGCTTCAGTAGTTGCGGCACGTGGGCTCTAGTTGTGGCACGTGGGCTCCGTAGTTGTGGCACACGGGCTTAGTTGCTCTGAGGCACGTGGGATCTTCCCAGACCAGGGATTGAGCCCGTGTCCCTTGCATTGGCAGGCAGATTCTTAACCACTGCACCACCAGGGAAGTCTGTCTTTTCTGTTTATTTATGAAATTTTCTGAAAATGATACATCATTTCAACTACTACACAACTAGAAGAGATTCTGATTCTATCTTTGAATAGTTACAACATTTTAAATGGTTTTTAAGTTAAAGATATCTCTACGTAGATTTTTAAATAAACTATACTAGAAAAATAAAAAAATTAATATAACAGAATATTGTAAAAGAAAGAGTTGATTTTTATCCTTCCACTTCACTTTAACATCAGCCTTTCTGAACTCAGTAGAAGTGTGTAATGTTTATTTTTTTATTTATTTTTTGGGGTATTTTTGTGTGTTTTTTTTTTGCGGTACGTGGGCCTCTCACTGTTGTGGCCTCTCCCGTTGCGGAGCACAGGCTCTGGACGCGCAGGCTCAGCGGCCATGGCTCACGGGCCTAGCCGCTCCGCAGCACGTGGGATCTTCCCAGACCGGGGCATGAACCCGTGTCGCCTGCATCGGCAGGCTGACTTTCAACCACTGCGCCACCAGGGAAGCCCTTTGTTTTGTTTTTTTGACCACGCTGCGCGGGCTTGTGAGATCTTAGTTTTCCACCTACCAGGAATTGAACCCAGCCCCTCAGCAGTAAAAGCACAGAGTCCTAACCACTGGACTGTCAGGGAATTCCCTGTTTTGTTTTTTTGGAAGCTCTGCCCTACCAGGTTCAACCTCAGGGGTAGGGAGGTTCAACCTTGGGGGAATGAGTTAATTAGTCATGTTCTGACCCATCCATGGTATCCTGAAAAGGCTAGGGAAGAAATAGATTGTAGACAATGTAAGGGAGGCATCAATATTAAGAACAGCTTCAAATCACATGAAGCTATTAGCAAACCTGGATGTGACAGAGTTAGTCCAGTTAATAACCAGAAAAAAAAATGTAATAGGGGGCTTCCCTGGTGGCGCAGTGGTTGAGAGTCCGCCTGCCGATGCAGGGGACACGGGTTCGTGCCCCGGGTCCGGGAAGATCCCACATGCCGCGGAGTGGCTGGGCTGGTGAGCCATGGCCGCTGGGCCTGCGCGTCCGGAGCCTGCGCTCGGCAACGGGACAGGCCACAACAGTGAAAGGCTCACGTACCGCAAAAAAAAAAAAAAAAAAAAAAAGTAATAGGTACTTTTACACTGAGAATGTAATAGGTACTTCAGTAAAGAATGGTTTGAGGATGAATAAACTGCTACATATTTACACAATGGGATGTTAAACGGTCATCAGAATGAATGACTGTAGGAACACACAATTGGAATGAATCTTAGTAATGTAATAGTAAGTAAAAAAAGTACCGAAAGAAGATATAGAGTTAAAAACAACTATAGATATGTATTATACACACACACACAATTTTTGGACTGTATATATAGAAGCAATAAAACTATATAAGGAAAGCAAAGGAATGATGAACTTAGGACTCTAAATTACAATCACCTTGGGCCAGGGGAAGGACGTGAAATGGGTTGGGCAGCTCATATACTCAGATTTGAATTACTGACAAGATCCTAATTTTATTTTGGGTAGAGGATTTGAGGGTACATATTACTTTATTAAAAATAACTCGTATTTTAAAAGTAATTAAAAGAGCTATGCATGGATCAGTGAGGAATATGTCATGCACCGAGGATTATGATGTCTAATTGTGAGCAAATGAAGAACAATAAAAAACACTAAAACAAAACACGGATAATCACAGCATTTACCCTGTAAAGTTGCTGTGAGGATTAAACAACTTAATATGTTTAAAACACTCAGAACAATGCTCGGAACATGGTAAGCAGTGTACTATGTAGGAGTTTTTGCTATCATCATTTTTCCTTTATGCCAAGGGGTAACCACTATTTATTATGCATATAAAACTACTATTGCGAATTCCTTGGCAGTCCAGTAGTTATGAAACAGGAGAGAAGGGGGCAGGGCACAACCTTTAAAAGAATGACATAGCCCAAGGGTTCGACGTAAACTGATTAGAACCAAATAGGTCCAAGATGACAAGTTGAATTCCACTAGACCTTAAGCCTCAATATACGCTCATTGTAACACATCAGCAAGCTAAATGACACACCCACAGGTGCCATGACAGTTCCAAGGCCAACCATAAAGATCAAAAAGTGGGCAGTGACCCAATTTGTGGAAATCCCCACCTCTTCCCCAAAATAGCTGGAATACCCCTCCCACTCATTAGCCTATGAAATTACCCACCCCTATAAAAACTGACAACCCCACATCCTGGGTCCGCTTTTGCCTTCTGAGATGGCCCACACTCTGTCTGTGGAGTGTGTTTCTCTCTAAGTAAATCCGCTTCTAACCTGTCACTTTGTCTCTCACTGAATTCTTTTGGTGATGAGACATCAAGAACCTGAATTTCACTAAGTCCTAAAACCAGATGTGTGATCTCAGTTAGAAGACTGTGGAGGGCTTCCCTGGTGGCGCAGTGGTTAAGAATCTGCCTGCCAATGCAGGGGACATGGGTTCAAGCCCCGATCTGGGAAGATCCCACATACCACGGAGCAACTAAGCCTGTGTGCCACAATTGCTGAGCCCGTGTGCCACAACTACTGAAGCCTGCGTGCCTAGAGCCTGTGCTCTGCAACAAGACAAGCCACGGCGGGGAGAAGCCCGTACACCACAATGAAGAGTAGCCCCTGCTCGCCACAACTAGAGAAAGCCCGCGTGCAGCAACGAAGACCCAACACAGCCATAAATAAATAAATAAATAAATTTATTAAAAAAAAAAAAAGACTGTGGGTTTTGGCCGGTTTCAAGTCCTGGCCGCATGGATTCAAGTCCCAGTCTGAGTTACATGGTTTCAGATAATGGTTTCATCTAGGACTACATGCTTCCACTGCAGGGGGCATGGGTTCCATCCCTAGTTGGGGAACTAAGATCCCGTATGCCGAGAGGCATGGCCAAAAAAAAAAAAAAAAAGTGAAACTACTATTTATTAAGCTGCATTGCAACAGACACCATCAGCTTCCCCCCAATACCCATTTTCTCTTCTTTGCTAACAGAAGTCTTCTTTTGTCTAGGATGCCAGTGAACTTAGACACAGGCTAAATATTTGCTTTTCTAGATATTTGCTTGTATCAAGAGTGTCCATGGGACATAGTTCTGGCAAATGACATACAAGCAGAAATCTGCTGGGATGACGTTTGCTTTTCCTGATAAAAGAGGATGATGTGGCTGGCACTATTGTAAACAGATAGGCTAGGGTTCCCCAGAAAAAGAGAACCAGGAATGGCTTTCTTGACATAAGAGAACCTATTTTGGCCTAAGCCATTTTGTGATCTAAGCCTGGCCACAATGCTTGCCCTTGAACAGGTCTCAGTAATTAATGATCTTAAGGGAGGGAATGCAGAAACAAGGGAGGAGCAGTCAAGAAACAATAGTGCAGCCTTGGGGCAGGGCCCTGGTTCCTCAAGGGATATATATAACAATAGACATAAAATCTTAAAAAAAAAAATTTTATTGAAGTATAGTTGATTTACAATGTGTTAATTTCTGCTGTACAGCAAAGTGATTCAGTTATACATATATATACCTTTTTTTAATATTCTTTTCCATTATGATTTATCACAGAATATTCAATAGAGTTCTCTGTGCTATACAGTAAGACCTTATTGTTTATCCATTCTCTATATAATAGCTTACATCTGCTAACCCCTACCTCCCACTCCATCCCTCCCCCATTCCACACCCCCTTGGCAACCACAAGTCTGTTCTCTCTCTGTGAGTCTGTTTCTGTTTCATAGAGAGGTTCATTTGTATCATATTTAGATTCCACATATATGTGATATCGTATGGTATTTGTCTTTCTCTTTCTGACTTGCTTCACTTAGTATGATAATCTCTAGGTCCATCCATGTTGCTGCAAATGCATTATTTCATTCTTTTTTATGGCTGAATAGTATTCCATTATATATATGTAC